GAAGTGGATTTCGCATTCAAAGGATTCCTTCTCTGTCTCATGGCATCCGTTCTGAGTGGGGCCAGATGGACCTTGGTACAACTCAAAATCCAAAAGATGGACCCGCCGTTAAAGACGTCGGTTGCCACCATGAGAGTATTGGCTCCCTTTATGTGTGTTACCATGGTCGTGGTTTCCATTTTGCTGGAAAACCCACGGGAGAAACTAAAAGATTACATGGATTCCTGGAAAACAATTTCCTTTGTTCTCGGACTGGGAATGGGAGGAGCCTGTTTGGCCGTCTTGATGATCCTTTGCGAATTCTATTTGATCATGCACAGCAATGCCGTGGTGTTGATGATTGGAGGTGTCATTAAAGAAATTCTCACCATCTTTATTGGGTAAGTCTGCTTACATCGGATGAACTTTCGAGAGGAAAAAGGTAGTTTGTTTTGGTTGTGACTCACAGTCAGCTGCTGCCTTGCTGGTTATCATAATGGATTGGCAGTGTCGGATTCTTTGGAGACACAATCAATTTCGTCAACTTTTTGGGCTGTTGTGTCGTCTTTGCAGGAGTCATTCTGTACAAGGTGACTCATCATATGGAGAAACCAGCGGACGGCGAACACATCCCCATACCGACAATGGACAAGGATTTCAGCGAAAATGACAATAATGCACTGAACGGTAAGGAACGGCTACAGCCTGACTCTGGTGGACTGGATAGTAGCGATCGATTCCTGGACGAGGATTCCGAAAGATGGAGGGAACGCGAAAAGGATGGCATAGAACTGCCTGCCTCCAATTCACTTCGAAGTCGTAACAGCAGCGATGGTACCAATGCCAATGCCAGTCCCAAGACCACCAAGATGATGATCGTCTAGCTAGTGGTTGAGTTGTGTTTTGCTTTCCAGAACATGCTCGCGCAGAGCCAACAATCTGCTAAACGTTGAAACACAGTACCGTATGATGAAATGAACGCGACAATGAGAATTCTTTCGGAACTGCGTGTTGGTACTACCAACCAACGTGGTCTGTCTATTGTTACAGTACGGTACTGACTGTACCAAACTGTACTCCTCAATCAATACGTGGGAACAAATGTCATTCGCTCCACAATTTTCTCGACAACATCGGAAGAACGCATGGATTGTGTGAAACAATCTGCGAGATCCCCCGTGTCGTCATGAAAGTAAATGACAATGGAATGATCGACCAAATAATCCCCATCCGGTGATTCATCGGCTTTGCTCACGTACACCCTGTATTTCTTGGCCATGGCCTGCACTTGGTCGGGTGCTCCCGTGAGAAAGATGTAACTGGGATGGAAATCGTTTCCATACTCCCGCAATGCTTTGAGGGAGTCTCGTGCGGGGTCGACACTGACAAAGAGTGGTACAATGTTTTGGTGTAGTTTTGGATATTTTTCTTTGAGTGTATCCATGACTTTTCCCACCTTGACCATTTCCGAGGGACAGATGTCGGGACATCTAGCAAATCCAAAGTATAACAATAACCATTTGCCTTTGAATTGTTCGCTAGTGACTAGGTTCCCATCTAGATCAATCAATGTCCATGGTCCACCAATGGCGGGCTTTCCGGCTGTACAGTACATTAGGTTTGGCAAAAGAAAAGGGAAAAACAGATGAGTAAGTAAGTAAGCAGGAAGGCACCAAGAGAATTCAGTCAATCAGAGCACTGGGGATGCAGGTAGCTAGAAATCAAGACATGAGAACTCTGCAAAAACACTATAAACAACCTGGAATAAGCAAGAGAAATGAAATCAAACAAAAAGTGAGCCACTAATGAATCCTTCGTTCCCACTCATACATGACATTGTATGTAACTGTAGTCTTTCTCTGACTCACACAGAAAAGAAAGCTCCTCTACATATATTGCACATTGTTGCACTCACCGGCGCCAAATGCATCCTCTTCTGGGAACCATCCCCATGGCGTTCGTTTGAATTTTCGTTTGGCTAGTACTTCTGGATTGGGCGACCATCCATCGGACTCACTGGAAACGACCTTTCTCATGGCTTGTTCTAATCTCCGTTCTCGTTCTAGTTTGTAGTATGCCGTGACGGACGCGGCAGCAATTCCCACCAAGAACAATGACATCCAACTGACGGGGCCCTTGTTCTTGGTGGGATCCGGTGGTGGTGGCGTTGAAGAGAAGGGTCGTCGAAGCTGCTGCCATCGACTGGAAAGTTGCCTGGAATTGGCGACCTTTAGAATGCGGCTAGTAGAACGGATCGATAGCATGGTGTCGTCTTGTGATGTTTCCTTATTGAAGCTTGAGAAAAGCAAGGGGAGACTACTACAGCTACAACCACCTCCGACGAGTGGTTGGATGGCAACCGAAAACCGAAACAAACAAGGACGAAAGATCCAATGAGTCAGAATGCATTCCCGTACTGTGGAGGACTGAGTTCGTGAACCGAAAAAGTCATACTGGTTGAAGATGACCATGCAAATGACTGCCCCTCTTCCCTTGGACACCGACCAAGAAAAAGCTGTTTGTGGACAACGAACGGCCACAATTCTTTTTGTTGACCTGACCACCCAGCATCACATCCACTCCAGAGTAGAGGTATCCCGACACTGCAGAGCATATAACAACCACCAATCTACTGTATCAATCAATCTTATCACACCATGGCCATGTCCAACCCGTATGGCGCTGCCAAGCAAGTGAAGCGAAATCTGGGCAGCAAGAATGGGCAACAACGGAAAAAGGCCATCTCTCCCACCATGCTGTTTGGACTCTTATTTTTCGTGGTCATTGGCATTTACGCAAGCGTAGTGGCGTGGTTCTCCTCGGCGACCTCTTCCCCATTGCACAATGCCCCCGCCGCCAATGATATTCGAAGACGAAATTCAGTTACTACCAGCGATAGCAATGCCAATAACATCAACGATATCCCACCACAGAAACTGCAAGAAGAAGAAGAAAGCCCTCCTCAGGATCAGCAAGAACAGAATGGCAATAATGGAGTGGAATCTGCCGAAGAAAAAGGTCTGAAAGCACTGCAGCAAATAGTCAAGCAGGAGAAACGGCAACCCATTGTCAAGCGATTCCGACCCAAACCCAAAGGAGATGGCATCAAACCACAAGCTCTAGTAGCTGGCAGTAGTAACAACCAAGAGGAACAGCCACAAGATCAAGACGAAGTTCATCCAGATCCAGAGCACATTATGAAAGCATTCGTAGAACCCATTCGATTCGAAGACTGGGAAGTCAAGCCATTGCCCCTACGAACCAGTACGACCGCCAAAAAACACTTGCTGGAAGAAATCGCATTCCCCAAAGTCAACTCGTGCAAACGACTCCCCGAACGATGGCCCGCCGATGAATATCCCGATCAAGATACCTTTCTCCCATGGATACACGATGTTTTTCCCACCGATGATGGAAAATTCATTCAAATTGTCGCACAGAATCGACGACGCTGTCACACGGGAACCACCGAAGAAGAACTCCGTATTCTCGTCAAGACACAACCATCGGTGGCACTCTTTCAACACGTACCCGTCAAACGCATTACCAAAGACAAGGATGGCAATCCACGCTATCAATTGTGTCCCCACGAAGATGCCGATCCCGATGGGGTCGCCACCCGATTCATTTGTCGATTCAAACCCACCATGGAAGAAACACTCTCCGTATTCAACTTTGACTACGATTGGGCTGCCTTTCGCAAAAAACAACGACACACGTTCAAATTCGACGATGGAGGCATCAAATCCGTACACACGTCGCAACTCATATTCAAATGTCCCGTACCAGAGGGATTGCAAGAATCCATCAAATCGGGAGACGCCGTTCAGAATGATTTTGCCACTATCTTTATGGATTTGATCCCCATTCGGACGCCACCTCGCTATGGGGCGCCCAATATGTTCTTTCAACCGCGATACAACGAATCGTTGGTGGTCGACAAAGCAGAACGATTCGATGCCGACACGGAGTGGGGCAAAGACCACATTTTGCCCAAAATTGAAGATTCGGGACGATGGGAGAATATCCCCATTTGTCGCACCAGTTTGAAAGAATATTATCCCGACAATGACGACAATAATGACAATAATAAGAAACTGGCGGTTCCTGGGAAACCCGACAAAAAACACCGATTGGTGTCGTGCATTTGGGGAGCGGCAGGCTATTCCACCAGAGGAAATCGATTTGCCATTAATGACGGACAGAGACGATTGTTGGAGTGGATCCACTTTAACAAAATGCTCGGATTTGATCACTTTTATCTCTACGACAACAGCTACGCATTTTCCAATGAAATCACACTCAAACCCATTGCAGACTTGTTTCCAGGAGAAGTCACATACATCAAGTGGCCCTTTCAGATTTGCAACAACAACCCCAACAATGTCGATAGTCCTGGAGAGAGGTCGTCGCAGTATGCTGCAGAATCGTCGTGTCGGCTGCGGTTTGGACCGCATGTGGAATGGATTGGACAATACGACATTGATGAGTACATTGTACCGATGGGCAGCTACACGAGCATTTTGCCAATCCTAGACAACCTGGACAAGGAAGGAAAGAAGATTATCTCCTTTGGATCTTGGCGATCCTGGCCTCGACGGGACTTTATTGCGTAAGTGTGCTACGGGAGCTTTTGCAGCGGTGGTTTCTGCGATTTTTTAATTGTGTTACTATTGCTTACACCTGCTTACACCTGCGGTCGTCACTCTTTTTTGAACAGGGAACCTGAACCAATCGATGACCCACAGGCTTGTGGAAAAAGGGAACAGTGCTTCAATCTGCAAGTGCCACTCAAGCACACCATGCTGCAGGCTTACAATTGCGACAGACAATCCGGGCCCAAAAAGAAGGTCATGCCCGCCGAGAAACAAATCTACAAACCAGAGTATGTGAGACAACACTTCATCCACTATTCATCGGTGACGGCCTTGTCAGAACTGAGCAAGTCTGAGTTTGAAAAGGCTGGGTATAACTGGCAGAGAACTAGGGCATTTCCCGATCCACTTTCTCGGTTTGGCGATGAGCTGCACGAAGCAACAATGCTTCACACCAAAGCTGTTGCTACGCCAGACACTACCGGTTGGCTGAAATCGTGCATGGACAAGTACAATGGGCATTTCATGTGCAGAATAGGAGTTCCATTCCCAGACGACTACGATGAGAAGAAGCATGGTACAGCAGACGAGACGAACTGGGCTTACAACTGCTACCCCAACAAAAGGATTGATGGCTACTGGGCACCACTGCTCGAAGAAGCAATCAACAAGGAGCACGGGCACATGTTCCAGCAACAGTAGTACTCGTACTTTGACGAATATTCTTGCGCGGGCTAATCCCATCATCAATGACAGGTGTTTCGGAGGACAGCAGCCGTCGATACAGCGCTTTTGTGGGATCAAAGCCGCGAGATACCCTGGTGCTGGCTGCATGGATCTGCAACAACAACAGTACTACAGCTCAGTATGAGGACTATCATAGGTTGTCACAGTGGGCTTGGTGGGAGAAGCGCATTTTGAATGTCCCTGCTGTTCTTGGCTACCGTTTATCGATTTGTTCCCGATCTGGTTCCTGGCCAGACAACCACCAGCTACCCGACAGACAACAATACGTAAACTATGCACACTTAGTCAGCAAATCAACACAGAACTTCGTCATTGTTTTATTCTATGCATGTAATGGTCGACGAGGCAGGAGCAGCTTGTTTTATCATTCAGGAGTCGTCACCGGCACCGGCACCAAAATTTCTTCTCCCCGCCAGCTATCATACAGTAGTTAGTAGTCGTAGAGAGCTCCCAATACATAGCCAGCATCATCGTCCCAAGGCTTGACACCACATTCAAGAAGTCTGTCACAATGGTACCCGGAAAATCCATGGCTCCCTTCATCAAATCCGTAGTCACTGAAGCTGTCGTATCGACGTCGCCTCTGATAGTCGCTTTGGCTTCGGAAAGTTGGCAACTTCTTGTTGTTTTTTCGCCGAATCAAAAACGTGCCTTCTTCCTCTGCATCTTCCATTGTTTCAACTTCTTCGGACGACTTCAATGCCTCCACCACCTGCCTAGCTGTAGTGACGTTCATGGATTGGATGCGAGGAGCCGACAAAATGTATTTTAGGTCAAACCAACCATTGCCATGTGGGCTGCTAATGATTTTGCTCCTATAGAATTTGTCTTTCCTCAAGTTGGCGTTGGAAAGATAGTATTCCACCTGGGTTTGCAGCTCTTCTTCATCATGATCATTCTGAACAGTAATCTTCCAGTCGTCCTTTTTGGTAGTCTTTTTGCGAGTCTCTTTTGAATGGTCGTTCTTCTTACGTTTGTTTGCTGGAGTGCTACCGGTAGCGGCTGTATTCATAGCAGCGCCCTTGGGAAAGAAGGAATCCAACGTTTTCTGGGGATTCGTCTTGCTCAGATTGCCGCCAGAGGCTGCGCCAAAGTAGTTTTTGATATTCGTTTGCTTTTTCGGCATACTAGTAGTAACACAGTGTAGCTCTTCTGCTGCCTCTTCGTCTGTGATAATGGAGTTTTGAGAGGCAAGAATTGAAATTGTGCGCCAAAAACTGGATCTTTAGGGTACCGGTGGTTTTTCCAAAGTCAGTGTTCCATCCGCTATTTAGCCGTTTCCTACGAAGGAGTTCCTGCTTGCTCGTTCTGTCTCTCTTTTTGGCGCTTTTAGCTGCAGTGGCTTCGTGCCAGCCTCGAGGATCCGAAACGCTGGCAGCACCTACCGTATCAATGGTCTCTTGGGAGAGAGTTAGTTTGGTTCTGGCCGGTGTCTTGCCCATAATAGTGATGCTGCTGTTGGTTTTTGGTATTGTTATGCCGAACTGTTTGAGAATAACAAGATGCCCCTCCGGGTGCGACAACCCAGTTCGTTAAAAGAAGCTTAGTAATAAAGACCCAAGCAAAACCTAACGAACCCCAAACCTGTTTGGACCCACTGATTGAAAGGCTAGTAGGTCAGTTAAGCTTGCGTCCACAGGTGCCAGTGCCGCCTGACTGATGATCGCAAGTCTGGCTTATCTTGGCAGTATTAGCCATATCATTGCTGCTGGGCTTGGAGTCAGGGCGTTGTTTTGGACCTTAGGAAATGAATGAGCTGGTACTGTGATGGAAAGGGGGTGGCCCTGGTGTGGGCCCTGAAGTTCGAGTTGATTCTGGTTGGTGTAGTGGTGGGTCCAGGGGTGGGTCCAGATGTGGGGCCTGGTGATGGATCAGGGGCTGGACATTGGAACCAGGCCTACTAGTATGCGCAGAGCTCCCAACTTTGCCAGCGCCATCCTGGGCACATGGGTAGCCGCCAAGCTGGGACTGGCGAGTCCAGATCTAGTTTCCACAAGTAGGCGAGACACCGGTGTGGCCAGCTCCATTCTATCAAGCGCCAGGGAACAAGTCAAACCAAAGGATGCCGAGGAATTTGTCTTCAAAGATATCGATGCCTTGTTGTTGCCAGGAGAAGGAACAATGTTGCTTGGCGCCAGTTCCAGTGGCAAAACCACCCTTATGAGGACCATTCAAGATGTGATTGGTGGGACTGCCAAGAACCGCTTGAAAGGTTCCATTAGCATGGGAAAGCTCCATATCCCAGCAGCTGAAGCTGCCACTACCGTAAAGGACAAGAATTATGGACGCATGACAGCATTTGTTGATCAGGGTGACATAAATCTCACACCCATTATGACTGTCGAAGAAACCATTCGCTTTGCCCGTCTCTGTGCCGAGGGCAAACATGACTTCATTGATGAATCCATTTTGGAATTTCTCAAACTTTTGGGATTGGATCATGTCAAGGATACCGTCGTGGGAAACTCTGATATTAGAGGGGTCAGCGGTGGACAGAAAAGGAGACCATGGATCTTCAGGGTGGGGTTTCCTATACTTCTGGCTGCTATTCTCGCTACTGGCTCTGAATGGCTCGGCCGTTTCAAGAATCTTGGCCTATAGCCTCCCCAACGAAGATGTGGCACAAACATTGGGGCCGGCTGCTCTTCTCTTGGTGATTCTCACGACGGGATATTCGCCTCGGTATCTTGAGCCTCCGGTTTGGCTTCGATGGATGTCTTGGTTGTCGCCGTGCGCATACACATTTGAAGGTGGCATGATCAGTGAAGTGACGAATCGAGATGTGGGTAACTTCTCTGGCGAGCAATACGCCCATGTTGTCCTTCAGCTTCCACGCATCCCTTTTGACCAAGCTCCTGTGGGATTGAACTCTGCGGATTCCCTGTTGTGGTTTGATGTTTACATGTTGGTGGCAAGCACGTTGGTGTTCGATGTTGCTTCTTGCTTCTTTCTGCATCGAAGTCAAGCGTGAAATGGGCCAACTACGAAGCGGTATCAAGTTTCATCCGGAATGAGCCTTGCGGCACCTCCAGCCTGGATCACAATGTCTCAAGAAGCGTTCAAGAGAAATCGAAAGCGGAGCCGAAGAAGCGCAGGAAGTAGCAATCTTCTTAGAAGCGTTCCTCACCCCCCCCCCAGCTCATTTGACGGTCAAGAATATCATCTACGAGGTGGGCGTGCCAATTGCACAAGTCGTAGAACCGACAAAGACAGACGAACGAGGAGATGAGCCAGCAATCTCCTGCGGCATCTTCGTTGCTTAGCTTCGGAGACGAGTCCTACAGCGTTCCTATTACGACTGGAGAATATGGTCAGACGGGGAGAGGATCTCTCGCTGAGGGTTTACTGAAACGACGACTTGGAGATGATGCTGTCAAGTCTGAAAGTAGTCATCTATCAGTAGCGTCACAGACGATTCGAGTGGAGCTCCCTCCCACTGAGCCTGGCCGACTTCGCTTGCTCGGCGGAGTCTCAGCTTCCTTTGAGCCAGGGACACTGACTGCACTGATGGGATCTTTTGGGGCAGGTAAAACGACTCTTTTGGATGTTCTCGCAGGGTACAAAACTGATAAGTGATGTATCTGATCCAGAGCGAAGGAATGATAAGTCACTCGGTCGGTCTGATGCGTTTTTCACATGATGCACAGGTGGGCATATCATGGGCGACATAAGCATCAATGGGAAACCCAAAACTGATGCAATGTGGAAGTCTGTTGCCGGCTATTGCGAACAGGTGGACCTGCACAACCCGGCTTTGACTGTACGGGAGTCCCTCATCTTTGCCGCAAGGTTGCGTTTGCAGCCTTTTGACATGTCAGACGAGGCCAAAGTTCCCTATGCAACGCACCTTTTGTCACTCTTGGATATTGAAGAATTCGCGGACATGCTCGTTGGTGACGAATAAAGTGGTGAAGGCTTGCCAAAGCATGCCAGAAAACGTCTCACTGTTGGGGTAGAGCTTAGTGCAAACCCCGCGGTCCTCTTTGCTGACGAGGTAAGAATGACTGATGCAACACATGGATGGCTATGGTGCGTTTTATACTCAATGAGTGGCGTCTCGACCTCCACGTGAAGCCCACGAGTGGCCTCGACTCCCTTAGTGCCTCAGTTGTAGTTGCTTCGCTAGAGAAGGCAGCAAAACAGGAGGGACTTACCATCGTTTGTACAATACATCAACCTTCAAGGTCAGTTTTCGAGGCATTTGATAATCTACTTCTCTTGCGGAAGGGAGGAGTCTGTGTATACAACGGACCCATCAAAGGCTTGCAAGCACACATGACATCAGCTCCGAACGGAGAGAAGTATCTCGTGCCTGAAGGTGCGAACCCTGCTGATCATACACTAGACGTCTTCTGCGGTCCTGGAGGCATTGATGTTGACTGGTCTGAGCTCTATGAGAAGTCTGACATGGCTGTGAAGGTCAACGAGGACCACGATGTTGTGGCCGCGACACGAGGGGCAATCGCTGTTTCAACGATTCCGCAAAGCTTCCTCGCAGAGTTGTTCATCGAAATCCAGAGGGAACTGTTTGTGATGTGGCGCACCCCTACCAGTACGTTCATGGCAACGCGAATGTATTGGACCATTTCAGCAAGCCTGATTGTTGGCTTGATTTACCTCAATGCAGGTAGCTCGGGTGCACCCCAAAATGTCGTTGGAAGGTATGTGCTGGAAGCGTTTGTGCTCTCCTTGATTGTATTTGCAGCGCAAAACACCTCAACTCCCACGGCTGCATTGTAGCATTTTCTTTTTCAATAATATCGCGACGGTGCCTCTGCTCTCGTCCATGATTCCCTTGATCAAATCTCGTGCTGTCTTTTACCGAGAATTGGCCTCGGGCACATACCGGCGAGCTGTATACGGAATTGCGGTACAAGTCGCTGAGATCCCATTCAACCTTGGCGCCGCTCTCTTGTCCTTCATCCTGATCTATTTCATGGTTGGATTGAATATGGAAGGCGAGAGAGTCATCTACTTCTTCCTCATGGCCTTGGTATCGTATTGGTTCCTCCCAGCGTTTGGCCAACTCCTTGCCTTTGTTTCTCCGAACACTGGAGTTGCTGTGGCCTTTGGATCCTTGGTGATGACGCTGTTTACCCTTGCAATGGGGTTCCTCATGTAAGTTTTTGTCCAGTCGCTGAAACCTGCATATATAATACATAAAGTCCATTCTTTGAAAGCACAGCTGATGAGCCTCGATCCCCTTGCATATCCTTCATCCTTTGGCAGCCCCCCCAACAACATTCCGGTATGGTACCGCTGGATCTATTGGATCAACCCTCTACGGTACATCCTGCAAGGAATTGTATCCAACGAACTTGGTGGCAATCCAGTGGGCGACGAATTCCTTGATAGGTTTGGCTGGTCGTACGATGATCGATGGTGGTACTGCTACGTCGTGGTTCTCTTCTTCGCCACGGGATGCTCCTTTGCAATTCTGGCATCAACTCGTATCAGTTGGTTGAAGCGATAAGAATTTGACAGATGATGTTGTGGTACGATGTATACATGTAGGATAATAGGGTAGCTTTTAGAACCAAGTGTAAGGAGATTGTTCTAGCTCGACACTGAATGACTTGACTCTGCTATGGTTCGATTGACAAAGTTACACGGTAGCAGCCATGTTACCCAAGTCACTCATGTTTTCCAGTCGAAAGTATATATGCGTGCGAACAAAGCACACCCAAGTGGATGGCCACACAAAGCTGATTGAAGTTCTTTTGTTACCGTCATCTCTTAGCTAGCTGTATTGTAGTAGTGTCAAAATTGAATCAGGCATCAATGTTCTTCATTTCCCCCGTCACAGGATCACGGACAAATGTGCCCGATGGTGACGATCTGGAGCTCCAAGGCTTTACTTTTGGGGCGGATTCAGATGGCAGCTTTTCAGTCGGCTGGGATGGAGGCACCGGAGGAAGATCCTCGGCCCACATATTCATTAGATTGTCGAGTGGATCAATGTCATCATCATCATCATCATTGTCGTCAGTGGTTTCTTCCTCCGCTGCTGGTTCAGTTTCTAAATCTTCCATGGAAAGGTAATCGACGACGCATTGTTCAATTTCCTGGTCAGATGATTCGTTGCTGCATATTTCAACGACCGCCTTTTCGTGGTCATCTAGCACACCTGTGCCTCTTGCCACTTGGATTTGCAAAGGCTCCTCTTCAGGCCGAGAAGCCACCATTCCCTTGCTAAGAGATCCGAAGAAAAGTTGAATTCGAGCATGAGTAAGTTAGAACTCTTTTACACAAAACGTACGACTGTAATAAAAGCTGCATTTCAGTTGTTCTTGGCTTGACTACTTACATTTTCTCCACTCCCAATCCAACCGTACCTGTCATGTCTCCAAACAACCCGGTGACTCCAACCAAAACATCTCCCACTCGAATACCAGCCTTTTCTGCAAGTCCTCCATCTTCCACACGTGTCACAAAGACGAGTTTGCTGTCTGCCAAGCTCTCCTCAATTCTCATTCCCAAGGGTCGATGGGGCAGCAACGAAAAGTCTTCAAATTCTGCCATGGGAAACAATTCTTGCGTCTTGAACTCTTCATTGACCACCAACTCCAGTTTGCTCGACGACGATTCTTCTGCATTTAAAGCAACTATGTGTTTGCCGGCACGTGGTGGTGTTGTCGGCGACAGAGTGAATCCCACCACTACTGTGGGAGCTTCAAGGAGTGCCACCAAGAGCAATGCGAAAGACTGCAGCGGGTACAGCATTGTTCTATCTGAAGTTTTTGGTAAAATTTGAATGCCTTCGCTAGCTACCTGTAGATCTTTTGGAGCTGCAAGAGATGAGAAGAGTTGAGTTGAGAGCTGAGAGTATTGCTCAAGAAGAGAGGCAGGTACAAGAGCAAGGTAGACGCCACGTAAGGTGTTGGACGAAAGGCAAAGAATGCTTTGAGCGACACCACCGTCATTGTCGTCTTTCTGCATGAGAACTGAGAATTGTCTTGAAGACAGATGGGGTGGTGGCAGTATGACGTCAGAACTTCAAAACTTCAATCACGGATAAAATAAGACACGAGTCCCGTTTACCTCGTCGACACGACGCGACGCCAATATCCCACTGCCATCACAACTCGCTAGCTAGCTTGACCTCCTGAAGTTCGACCACAGGTGCCTTGTACTCAGGGCAGCAACGGTAGCACTGCAGTGGTCTATGCTATTGACATACTTACACCATGGGAGGTCACTCGGCGTGGAGAAAACGCGTAAAGCGTGGGGAATTGGCCAAGGGATCGGGAGGAGCCATCATGCGACATCGTCCTCACTTTGGCAGGAAAGGCAAAGATTTGATTTTGAATCGAAAGGGACACATTGCAGGAGGCAATCCAAAGAAAAGGAAAAAGAAGCGGAAAAATGATGAGGAGGAGGAAGAATACGAATCAGAAGAAGATGAAATAACTATGCAGACTGAAACAAAATCTTCTGTGGCGATTCAGAAGACGATGCTCCGAGTTACAATGGCTGTAGTTTTTGTCTATGCGGCAAGCTACCTCTTCTTTGCAACATTCTACCCAACCAACCAAGCTTTCTTCACTTTCCCAAGATGAAATAAATCCTTTATTTACGTATCTGCATCTATTTATTTACAGGTGAGAAATATCCAGGCATTCTAAGTGTTCTTCGTCATGTTGTTCCAAGGCTGTGATGCCTTGTTCCAAGGCGAGCTTGGCATAGACGCTGTCCTTTTGTCGCAGCAGTGTCTCGGGATGGGCAGCTTCCACTATTTTGCCGTGTTCCATCACAATCACTCGGTTCACATCCAAGGCCCGTACAACACCTAGGCGGTGTGTCACCATTACCATGCTCTTGGCATGCGCCATGGCTCTTTGAAGAGCCTTGACCACCTTCTTTTCGCTTTCAGAATCTAGAGCAGCACTGAGACCGAAGCAACAACAACAACAACTGAAGTCAGCAACGCAAACCTCTTTTCTGAAAACAGTAGCAGCATACGTGCAGTGAAACCAACGGCAACAACTTACGTGGGCTCATCCAGCAAAAGGACTTCTGGTGAACGAATAATGGCTCGAGCAATCGCGGTTCTCTGGCGTTGGCCACCGGAAAGGGCACGACCACCTTCACCCACTCGAGTGTCCAATTCCAGCGACAAATCATTGCCAGGTTCTACCGGCAGACCGCAAAGGCGCAAGGATTCGTACACTGCCTTGCGATAGCTTTCACTATAGCATGGTTCACCTGTTTCGGGATCCACACTGTCCTTTTCAATTCCATACAACACATTGTCCAGTAGAGACATGGGAAACAACGAAGGCTCCTGTTCCACTACCGATACCATCCTGGCAATTTGTTTTCGCGATAGATCATTCATGTTTGCACCGTCGAGGTGAATGGATCCTGAACTGGGATCGTAAAATCGCAGAATGGCTCGCAGCATGCTCGATTTGCCACTGCCAGACTTTCCCACAATGGCAATGCGGTCATCTGGATAGATTTCCAAGTCAACCCCATCCAGGGCCGGTTTGGACATGGCTCCGTAGGTCACTGTCATATTTTTCATTTCAATAATGGGTTTCGTTGTTTCTTGGTTGTGCCCATTCATTGTAGATTGTTGCTGGTACTGTTGTTGGCCATTCACTAGTGCCACATTCTTTTGTTCTGTGGCCACCAGTTTGGGTGGAGCCGTGGGTACAATCGTTGACTCGTCCAGCGCCTGGTTCTTTGGAACGGGAGGATCTCTAATGGCAGGGATTCGCCGTATCAGGTCGAATACATTGGAGGATGCTCCGACAGCACTTTGGATTTTGGCCCATTGATCGCCCACTTCATTGCTGCTCTCGAGCACAAAGTTGGTGTAAAACATAAAGGTTGTCAATTGAGCCGCTTGCAATCCCCCGGAACGTCCAAGTGTCCAACACGCCAACAGCAAACCCGCGTGTAGGCCAGCCTGCAAGGTATCACTAATGAGTTTGTGGGTGCCGTAGGCAAATGCCTGGACTTCTTCCAGCTCCAGGGCGCGACTCTGGGAGACTTCGTACTTTTTGGAATCGACTTCCACGCCGTTAAAGGAGCGGATTGTTTCACTCATGGACAAGGATGTTTCTGCAACTGCCGTCGAGTCGGCAAAAGTATCCTGTACTTTTTCGGCCAATATACGGGCAAAGTCTCCATACACGGCCGAAATCCAGGCCACCAAGCCCACTCCGGCAAACGCCCAGAGAGCCAGTTCTCGTGATATCCGCCAAAGGACTACCGACCCAAAGATGAATTGTGCAAGTTGTCGGCAGACCACGTTCACGTGGTACGATATTACGTTTCCAATCTTGTTGACATCATTGTTGAGACGAGATAGCAAATATCCCACTTCATTCGAATCAAAGAAAGCGGCCTCTTGAAGCAACAAGTTGCGATGCAATTTGACTCTGACATTATAGTTTGCTCGTGATCCTACGGTGTGATTATGCAACAGCAAAGCAGTTAGTGACCCATGATACCAAGAGATAACATCTAATTCTAGCTTGCCAGCCCCAATAAGGGTAGTGTTTTCAAACGTACCTGCCAACCAGAACAAACTCCCTCTCAATCCTGTGAAGAGTGATGCCAGTGAACTGGTCAAGACCAAGCCCACCAAGGCTTCGACGACTTTGGTTCTCGAGGGATGCAGCGTCGCCACCAGCTGAATGCACTTGGCCTCGTAATGAGGGACAATACTGGTCATGAGGGCTCCCAAAAACAAAAATGTAAAGGACGGCACGACAATGGATGACTTGTACCCCGCCAGCGCCACCAAGTTTTTGCGCTGTTCATTCAGTTTGGCCAAGTTTTCACGGAAGGATTTTCGTCGCTCGCCTCGTTTTCGTTGACTGCGTCTGGTGCGTTTCTTGGTTTGGCTTGTCGCCAAGGCATGAATGACAAATCTGGCATAGAATGCCATGCTACCTGTGATGGACTTGGTTTCCGGCACGATTCCATTCGGGTCATATTGCTCTGCCAGTTCCACTTCGGTTGTCACCGTTCGCAAGGGTATTCGGGAATGTCGTCTGATATTTGCTAGAGATGATTGAGTGTTCAGTTGTTGTGATGGGATAGGATGATGACTGACATGGGCTGCTCGAAGTGGAGGAGAGGAAAACGAGTCCACCTTCCACGAGGAGAGGACGACCACAAGGAGTGAAAGAGAGGACAGGTAGGCCCTGGAGCTGCAACGCCTGGAAAACGACATTCTTTGCCCAAGATTCTTGTGAAATGAAGCTGAAGCGGAAGCTGAAGCTGAGAGCGGAGTAGGGAGAGGTTTTGGTTGCTTTCTCGGCAAAGAACAAGATGTCATCCCTTTCCTTGAAGGCTAATGAGAAGTAATGAGGCAGAGCTTTTCCGTGGCAGTTCGGTCCGATGACGACGGATGAGTGGCGGGAGAGTGACGTGAGTACTCAGCTCTAGGGTTAAAGATAAAGATTGTATCCACGGCTGAACTCCAAATCAGCGACTAAAATTGGCGGGAATAGAGCACAGAGCACAACCGGTAGCTAGCTAGCCAGGGCCAGAAGTCCTGTACAGTGTAGTACCGGCCCCACAGGATAACACTCACAGTGACCTCTTTTCACGTCTTCTCCTGAAGAACCCACCAGAGACAACATACATACAACAACTGATTAGCTTGACAGCAGCACAGCAGCGTCGTTGTAGCAGAGATGAGCGACAAAGGAGAGGACGGAAAAGGGAAAGAGTCACATGCCCACCCCAAGCAGGCTGAAATGTCGGAAGGAGATAATACTGGGAATTTGTTCGCGGAACCCAAACGAGACGTGTCTTACCCCCATGGAGGATCTGAAGCGGACGCACTGGCTGCCTATGCTGCGCAACCTCCTCGACTGCACTTCTTGCCAACTGGCAAGGAGCGGAGACAACGTGGAATTGAAGACGTCATACAGAGTACCGTTATACCTGAAGGAGATGGTCAGACTACAAGCAGATCTGTGAACCAGTCTGCCGAGTCACTGCCTGGCGCCTTTCCAGCCGGACCTTCGAGGCCCTTCGCAGCGACGGCTCCATTGCCGGTGGAAGCCACGGGGCAACCCACCGATCATTCTGTGCCAGATGCAAACGCCACCATTCCAATCCCAGCCTCTGAGCCGCACCTTGTCCACGCTTCTTTGGTTCCTGATGCACCCAGCGAGAATAGCAACGATGATGTGGTGGTGGAAGCTGAAGCAGCCAAGTTGTGCGATTTATTGGAAAATCAACAAATGCGTCTTTTCTTGGGAGCCTTAATTTGTCTTGCTGCGGTAGGGATTGTTGCAGCACTGGTGCTCCCAACATTGCTGGCTGGTCCCGACCCGACTATCAGCCCCACACCTATTCCTTCCACCAGTCCTTCCATCAGCCCCAGCAGTGCACCAACTGGGGAGCCATCAGAGGCACCCACAGCCAGCTCATTCGAGCCTTCTGCCGCTCCCACAATCTCTGCAGCTCCCACCAATGCCCCCACGCTTGCGATTTTCCCGGATCATTTGCCTGATTTTACCATTGATGCCCTAACCAACGAAGCAAGGCCTCAGTATAAAGCATTGGAATGGGTGAACCAACATGAATCACTCGACGAACTACCCGAGTGGAGGAAGTTCCAGCTGTATGCCATGGCAACCTTTTATTATTCATACGATGGAACCGACTTGCTGAATCAAAACGTTTCGGAATGTTTTTGGACGGGAGCTATTGACTGCAATACAGAGGGCAGAATTGAAATGCTGAGCATTTCACAAGAGACAACCAAGGGCTTCACTCCACCAGAAGTTGCACTTTTGACGTCCCTGAAATACTTGGGTTTCTATTCCATGTCGCTGTTTCGAACTCCAGCAGAAGTTATCCCTCAACAACTGGCACTGCTAAGCAATCTGACAACTGTTTATGTTGTTGACAGCAATCTGGATGGGACACTGCCGAGCTACTTGAGCGAGTTTCAGCAGTTAGAAAGCTTTTCAATGGCGCAAAACAAGGACATACGAGGAAGAATACCTTCGGAGCTTGGACTCTTGACAAATCTCAAATATCTTTCTTTGAGAGGAAATCGAATCTCTGGAGAGGTGCCAAGTGAACTGGGTATGCTTTCCTCTTTGGTTGAGTTGGAACTTGAAAACACAAATTTGCGGGGGACCCTTCCCACAGCCATTTGCATGATTCCAAACCTTACCAAATTGTCCACGGATTGCTCCCGAATCTCATGTCCTGTACAGTGTCCTTGCAAATGCGACGCTGTCACCCCGGCACCGCGGCCCCAAGACTCTGCGGGATATTCTAAGAGGCTTCACTGGCAACAAATTGTGGGGGGAGTTGTTTTGGCAGGTATCCTGATGTTGTAGAAAGCTTTTCTAGCAGGAAACTTCATATCAGTGTGACAGAGTGATGGCTCTGTGTCGAACCAATAATGAGCCATGCATTGCATGGATCCAAAGAAACAATGGGACGAAATCATTGAGAAGAAGAAGGTGCCTGGGTACATACATATATATGTATGGAGTGACTTTCAAAACAACAAGGACACTAATAGAGGAAAAATTCCGTCCGAGCTTGGACTCTTGACAAATCTCAAAACTCTTTCTTTGGGAGGGAATCGAATCTGCCAAGTGAACTGGGCATGCTTTCCTCTTGCTGTGTTGGAACTTGAAATCACAAATTTTCAGGGGGCCTACAGCCATTTGCAAGATTCCAAATCTTATTTTAAAACTGTCCACGGATTGCTCTCGAATCACATGTCTTGTAGAGTGTCCTTGCAGATGGGACACTGTCACCCCGGCACCGGGCCTGAACTCTGTGGCCCATTTGAAGAGGCTTCGGTGGCAACAAATTGTGGGGGAGTCGAGTCATTTTGGCGGGTACCCCACAGGAAACCTCACATCAACATGACAGAGTGATGGCTCTGTGTCCAACCAATCATGATCTATGCATTGCACGGACACAAAAAGAAAATACGGGACGAAATCAAGCGAGAAGAAGCACCATGCCCACGTTCATGTGTCCTGTACAAAAGGAGGCACAATGCCCATGCACTTCTCTAGTTTAACCTACATTACAAAGCCCCCTCATGAATCCATCATAGCACAAAAGTACATTGACGCTACTCTGATTCTGAAATCAATCACCGTTGAGACTGCTTCCTGTGAAGTGAGATTGCCTCTTCGAGCTTTGGAACCATGTTGTTTTCCACATGCTCGTTCACCCAACAATTGCAATATCTTCCACTTTCATCTACGAAAGGGTTCACATTGTTGGGTCTCTCCTTGTCGTCAATCCATTGGGTGGAGTCTGGGCACACAAATCCAAGTGGACATTTATGCTTGGAATTGGATTTGCACATATCATTCCGGTAAATTGTTTCATGAGGAAGTACTGACCTTGCATGTATGAGTGTGCCTTGTGTCAATTCGTCGAGAAATACCTCTTTAGTGCTGCCAGCCACTTTCCAATCCAATAGTGGGGAATCACTATTCACATTTGACTGGTTCCTCCAGGACAGAGCAATATCCTCTGTAACCGTAGAGTAGTGCACGTAGTGACTCAGCACGTAAGATGGTCGGTAGATTTGTTTCATGGCCCTAGCAAATCTCGAGGGCCTTGGCGGTTTGATGTAGTCACTGGCAGATGCAAGAAAAGGCGATATGTGAGCAGATGCTGATGGGCGTGTCAGCAGTTTTATAGACTTACCAGTTGTAGACCTTCAAGAACGTCTCGTTGTGCATAGGTTCCTGGCATGATGTCTGTTTTAGCTTTCTTACTGCGGCAGATCTCTTTTGTGGGATTTCACAGGATCTTTGATCCGCAAGTGACCTTGATACAAAACCGATGGAAGCATGTCAGACTACATGTACATCGTAAAACCGTCAAGCAAGTGCCTCCGTTGAGATTGAAACTCACTCCATGAGATCATGTCTTGGAAGACCCCGGCTGCTCTTCATTTTCAAAACTTGCACACCCTTGTTCTCCATTTCAACTAGAAATTCTCGCCATGTATCGTGCTTCATGGGCACAAGGTATTCATCAGTGTCCAGGGCACTGGAAACAACGACAACGTTGACAATCATGGGAGGAGAGCGTTAGAGCGCAACACAGTAGTGTATTCTTCGGAAAGTTGCCGCCAAGACTTACCTCATCCATTCTGTGAAAGGCCCGAACCGCTACAAAGGGCGAGCAAACGAGGATACAGTTTGAGTCATGAATGCATGAGTGACAGTCGAGGCTTTGAAGTCTCCTCTGCATCCATCTACTCACCTCCCTACAACTGGCTTCGGCAGCGTACTGAGAGCTCCGATCTCCCGGATTCTTGTGCATGGGACGGTTGTTGGAACATACCGTACAAGGCCACCTGATGTAGGTCACCAGCTCTGATGGAAACTCGGAAACAACAGCCTCGAGATCATTGGATTGATTGCTTGTAGCGTCAATGGGCGAGTTGTCGTATATGTAAAAGTGATCAAATCCAACGAGTTGGTGAAAGATTATCCATTCACGAAGTCTGGCATGACTATCGCGGACTGTGACTGCATTTCCCCTTCGATGATACGAGGCAGATGCCCATGTACAAGCAACAAGTTTCTTGTTTGGCAACAGATCATTGACAAGGTTGTTCTGGTTGCTGTTATCGTCAGCTCTTGTTGGCAGTTGCACGCTTGACGATGGCTTTGTTGTTGTTGTCGGCTGTGGTGGATGGCAAATTGGAAGGTTCGCCCATCGTCCCGAGTCGGCAATCTTGGGAAGCGTGTGGTTCTTGCCGAACCATTCATTCAGTTGGAACCACCTCTCGGAGTGTTGTTGAAATTGTTCCTTTCCAATCTGGTCCTGCGTCAGGAGAAACGTGTTGGATCTGGGTGGAGTGCGAATAGGAATGACATCTACCCAGAGTTTTGGTACATCCTTGACAACATGTTTGCCTTGTCGGACCATGGGTTGAAACTCGGGTGGAATCGGGCAGGAAAAGAGTAGCTGAGAGAGCCAAAAGGGGCTCTGATTCAGGCTATTCTTGCTGGTATCATCTTCCAACATTCTCTTGTTCTTTCTCCACGTGACAAACTCGTAGTTGAAGGGGAAGCCGCTAAGAGAGATAGCTGAGTGTTGACTGCTATTGTGAAAACGACAAATGAACCTCGTCTCTTTGGCCGTGGCATGTTCGAAACTGTCTGCTAGCCGAAAGGATGGTTCCTTGTCCTGTGTTGTTGTTGTCGTCGACATGACCACCGGCACTGGCTGAAAGAGAGCAATCTGTGGTTTCCAATGTCTCATGCTGACATACGTTCCTTCGCCAGTTTCACAGTTTCGTTTGTTCTGTCCAATGAATTTCATCATAGTACCATCGTTGGTTGGGAAGAAATCATGAATCCACGGCAGAAATGGATCTTTGGAGGGAAAGTTGTCCACCACAGATTTGCCGAAATCTCGAATCAAACTCGAGCAGTGATGCACTTTAGGAAATGTGGCAGTCTCTAGGATGGACTCGGCCGTTTTTCTAGGAGGAAGTGGCTTTACGTCTTCTTGTAGCGTAAAGGGAGGCTCCATAAAGGCAGTTAGAATCTTTTGATCTTTGACTGGTTGGGTGTCGGTTGTGCTACCGCCATTACCATTAGTAGTGGTGTGGTGTGTACCGGTAGGAGTCCCTCTTGCGTCAGATACCAAACCTTGGACCATGGCTTTTTCCTTATCATTGGCCATTCTTCGCCGGCTGTTGTAGAATTTATTGATATGGTCGAGCTTCTCTTGCAATGCTCGTTCCGCTTCCTTTTTGGCTTCTTCTGAAATGGAAAGGCCGGGTGCTGGGTGGTTGAGACTTCTATCATCGGTAGCTAACATTTCTCCTGGTGGCGAGGCGGACTTTCGCGGCTGAAAGAACGCGGACTTGGAATTTTGGAGATTATTATCATCGGGGAACTGGTTGTAAATGCTTCCTTTGAGGCAAAACACGACCATCCACAGTACAATGGGAGCGCTAAACGATAGCACCAGTGCTTCGGTCGTCATTTTTTTGGAAGTCGCTGACCGCCGTCTTTGACTCTTTCGCGTCTTCTTTTTCAGAACACGTCTATCGTGACCCTCCATATTATTTTTGATACTGCTGCTGTTGATACTATTATCTCCTCCCGAAGTGGATCGTTGATGACATGTTGTGGAAGTCTGTTGTGTCATTGTCAACGGACCCTCGTCCTCCTTTTTTGTGGTCCTGCTCGCTAGCTAGCTCGATCTTTGACCTTTGACCTTTGACCGACTCCTTCTCAAAAAAGATTTAAAGGGAAGAGGGCTCTAAAGCTTCCAGTTTCAAAAGCTGAGCAGCTCTACTGGCTTATTCAAGAATCTTCCAGAATTTTCCAATTCCTGTCGAAAACAACTCTCCTCTCTCGCAATATGTATTTGATCGGCTTGCCCTCCTGCTATCCGACTAATCGTACGCTCTTCCAACCTTGGACAAGGTTCTTGATACAGTACCATGCACAAAATGTCAAGCAAACTTTGTGGCTTTCCTCTTGCTATCAATTTATTTAATTGTACTCAACAGTCACCCACTTCTTCAGCATGCTTTCGCTTCGATGCTGCTCCTTTCTTCTTTCGGCATTCGCCATTGTGTTCACGAGAGCGGAACCGTCGCAAACCGTGGCTTGTCGCAGCAACCCCGAAGAGATGGACCGCTTCTATCAGAAGTATCATGATCCTCGGTTGTGCGAAAGGTTGGGAGGCTCCTCGTTTGCGGAGGAAATCAAGCACGATCGACAAGTCTCCTTTGAACGCCTCCGACACACAAAGACACATCCCAAAGTTCCAGATCAACAAACGGTAGTGTGTCCTACAAACGTTCAACCATTGGCTCTGCCTGGACAGGCCATGGGTATGAAAACGGTATGGATGGTGCAAAATACCGCCTCTGTCCCGGTCGTGTTGAGTTGGGTCGCCCCCGACACTCTGCGAGAATTTTCCGCAATGGATGCGTCGATTGCTCCACCCCAAGCCGATCCGAATGCCATTGTCCCGCCAGGATCAGGGGCCATCTTGTACGGGTATGAAGGACATGTCTTTTACGCCAGAGAATTGCTGGCCGATGGAAGCGCTGGCAATGTCCTGATCCAGCATCGCTTGGGTTGGATTCCCGTGGGAGCTGCCGCGCAGAATCTAACTTGTTCCACAATAACGCCTCCTCCCAAAAAGACCCGCAAACTTGCTCTGCCCCCAACGCCCAAAGTCACACCACCCAAGGCCGCTAGCCTTTCTGCAATCGCTGCAAACAAGGCTCAAAACATTCTTGCCACAGTTAGTTGGTGGGCTAGCGCCGCTGTTGCCGTCCCCACGGGCATGGTCGCTGCTGGATACGACTATTGGAACAATGTGGAGGAGGAGGAAGAGCCAGAAGAAGCTGTCATTGCAGATCCGGAACCCAAGCCCCAAGATGATACAAAGGTACGGGAAGTGGCCGAGTCGCGAGAACGACAAGAATGCAATACAGTAGAGGTGGTCTTTCGCAACCGATCGCCATGTCCCGTCAATGCTTATTGGGTCAACCCCCACAACCAGTGCGAAGAGGTGTTCAAATTTCATCTGGGGATGGAAGCAAGTGTCGACAATTTCATGTGGGATTGGAAGTCTCCAACCAAGGGTGAATCCACGTTCATGGGACATCAATACGTGTTTCGTTGTTCGGCTAACAACAACCAAGTGGTAGATTCGGTGTATCTGCAACCCACACGCATTGTCGATTGTCCACGGGACAAGCAACAGCAACAACAACAACCAACGATCCCTACTAGTGATGTAGAAACTGCAAGGCAAGTCAAGCTTGTACAGGACGACGCACAGAGTGAAGCGTCGAATTCCATGAAGAACTACAGCCGACAACAACAAGCGGTGGAACAAGTCCTCATGAACACCATCGAAATATGCAACAAAGGAACAGCTGGTGGGGAGTGCATGATCCCCGCCAACATCTCCCAGTTCTTCTTGCCCTCGGATTCTCAGGAGCAGCCCAAGGCCAACCCTGAACCTGAGTCCACAAAAGCAGACGAATCAATAGCGGAAGAGCTACATCAAGAATATCAACATTTTCTCAAGAAGCTCGAGGGGAATCCAGAACGAATGCAACGCTTTTTAGACTACATGAAGACCCACGGAAGCCAGTATGAACAAGAAAATTGAATTAGGGCAAGGAGGCGAATGCATTGAAGCATTGGCCTGGTACACATTGCATAGTCAAATGGAAAGTAACCTTTAGAATGTTTATGTAGCAAGCCAAAACATCCAAACCACAGTGGATCCAACATGATGCCTGCCTTTCCCAGTCTAAAATGAGCATCATGGGGCAAGCTATGCAAACAGTAGCAAGGACCTCACTGCAATCACATTCGAGCTGCCGGTGATAGGTGAGCGCACCGCAGTGAGCTATGCATGCATACTAGCTAGTACTACGGTAGCTATTAATAGTACTTGAGTGGGTTTGGGTGAAAGCTTTATTGACGCACAAATTGTTAAAGCTTTGCTTTAGCATTAAATCTTTTCAGGGCACGTCTGCTGCGATAACTGGGTGCATGTGGATCCTCGTTCACGAACAACGATACAACGATCACTTCATCCCGTCAACCTTCTGGAAGTGTCATCTGATACAACTGGAAGCTGGAGTAGAGTGTTTAATAGGGCTGTATAAGTGATAATCTTGAGACCATGGCTCATCGAAGAAGAGGCGTTGGAGTGGCCCGATCGGGTGCCAAAAATGCCAAGTACGTGTCGGTCGCTGAGATACCCCTTTAGCACTTTTGCTAGCTTGCTACTGGTAGTAGATGTGAGCTCACCATCCATTGCAATCTTTGCTCAATGTACCATCCTTATGATGTATGTAGAATCCAGAAAAAGGCCGATGAAATGAAGGCCATGTCCTTGCAGTCGGCCATGGATACTTGTCAAACCTTGGAAACAAAACTGACGGAATTTGCGGAAAGACATCGAAACGAAATCCAAAATGATCCTGCCTTTCGAACGCAATTCCTAAAAATGTGCGCTCCCTTGGGAGTGGATCCCTTGCAGAGCAAAAAATCCTTCTGGAATGGGGTTCTTGGCGTGGGTGACTTTTACTACGAACTGGCCGTCAAGGTCGCCGAAACTTGTTTGGCTACCAAAGCTCGCAATGGTGGAATCATGAGCATCACCGAAGTGCAGTCGATGTTGGCCAAACGAACCACCCGCTTTGACTTTGCTGGTACTAGTAGTGCATCTACTTCAACCAGCAAAAAGAAAAAGAAAAAATCCAAAGACACCTATTCCGAAGAAGACATCAAATTGGCCATTAAAAAGTTGGCAGTGCTGGGAAACGGATTTCGAACCATTGAAGTAGGAAACTCGACAATGATCGTCTCTGTCCCCACCGAACTCGACAATGATCACATGGAAGTCATGACATTGGCCAAAAACATGCAATGTGTGACCACTGAGCAAGTGTGCGAAGTTACTGGATGGAGCAAAAGCAGAGCCGAACGAGCACTACAACTATTGCTGCAGGAAGGTATGGCTTGGCTGGACAAATATGAAGGCCTGGACTTTTACTGGTTCCCAAGCATCTGGAAAGAAACAATGGAAGAAGAGCAATCATAGATGACTACAATTCACATAACGGCCGCTATTTTTTGATTATCTACGTTGCCATCTTCCTCTTCAAATAGATCCATATTCAGTTCGCTGTGTTTGGGCTGCGATGCTGTCCCCTCCAACTGTGGTCCCGCAAAAGATGACTCGAGGGCCGAGTGGCGACTTTTCACCATCTTCAGCGTCGACTTCAATGCCCAGTGTCCTCCGGAATTCCATAGGGCTGTTGTCATCGCGTCTACTGCTGTACAGCACGGTCGACCATGGGGGCGGAGACATGGGCGCCACACCTGTCGTAATGATCTCAAGCGGGAGCGGTGGAACGGGGGAACACACATCGTCCGCTCTCCGTTCTCGCATAATATCATGATGTCTTCGAAGCAAGCTGAGGCTGCCGATACTACAGCTACCCTCATCATCAAGCGAATTGGCTCCGCCCACAGGAATGGGGCGAAACCCAACATCCAGCAATGAGTTACCCTTGACCGGCGCTTGAACGGGAGGACTTTTCGGACATATGCTGCTCTTCTTCTGCTCCGGTGGGGTTTCAAAGATCAATTTTCGGCGGGGACTGAGACTACGCGGAGCCGTTGGCCCCCGTCGTTGCAAGTTATCGTTGTTTTGGCTCTGGGTAATGTTCACTAGTGGCTTTCTTCTCGTTGTTGGAATCTTCTTTCCCCAATACAACTTTGGTTTGAAGGTGCATTCGCGCATCTGCTCCTCCTCCAACCGTTTATTGCGTAGCTCCTGCTCAGCCTGCAAGAACCATCCGAAAACAAGACAAGGGGAAGTTTTGTTAAGACAGGGCATCAAAGATAAGGAGAGAACCGCAATGCGAAAATCAGAGCCTACCTTTTCTGTGGCAGGCCGTTGCCGAGCTTTTCGGAGCCCCTCCTTATAGAGCTCCTCAAATCTAAGTGATTTGGTTGTCAGACTAGTTTTACTCCCATCTTTCGAGGATGCATCAGATGTTGGCTGTTGCTGGTGGCTTCGTTGAAAGTCTTGCCAATACTGACGGGTCGAAGTAGTCGTCGTTGTGTGCGTCGAGGCCGTCGTTGGGGTTGTACTCGACGACTTGTCCCCTGATCTTGTCGACTGTTGCGGCGACCGCTTCATCTTTTTCTTTCCGCCTGCCTTTTGTTTGATTGTATTCGCTGTGTTAGGTTTAAAGGTGCATTCCTTCATGAGCTCATCTCGTATGCTCTTTATCTTCTTTTCTCGTTCTTTCAGGCCAAGCTGCGATCGTTCGTACAATGTGAGTCTCTTGGTCGGTGGCGTCTTGCCAGTCTGACTCTGTGTGCCTTTCGCTGATGTTTTCTGCAACGATGGAATTCGAGTGGGACGCCTCGACCTCGGTTTGTTTGGAGTCAATGGTGACACTGGGCCTGATATTGGACCGTTCGTGATTGTGATGCTTTCCGTGGTGAGAATGTCAGGTGACGACCTGCCGCGGCCATCGGTGGCATCCGTTGACATGGCCCGAGATCTTCGTCTGCGTGCAAGAACGTCTCTCGTGGCGAGCCCTGTGTCATGGTCGGCCAAAGCTTTGGTGCCGTTCCTGGTGGAAGTAGTCTTTACGAACTCCTCATAGAAATGTATAATTGGAAGACTTTGCTGCTTTGTTCGACGGCGACGTGCTTCTGTTGCCATGGTTGCTCTTTCCGCTCACTCCAATTAGCTAATAGGAAGGGATTTTATCTCCATCGTTCTGGCAGCGAATGGAGATCGCATCGACTGTCCATCTCTCGAAATCAGCAACGAGCAGAAAGTGCTTCCGCGAGTGCCCGTTAGGGACTTCACAGCGTCTTTCCTCCTGCAGTTGAGCCCCTTTCAAAGTTGGCGAGAACCATTCTTTGCACACGCGATTCGAAATTTCGGAAGGTACCACACATGAGCTGAAACAGCATTCATTAGCATTCTTAACACGGGATCCAACTGACTACGACTGTATGATGAAGACCGGGGCGTCGTTGCTGATGGTGCCCCGTACCGGTACCAGGTACCGGTACCGGTTATGCATACCGTTTGGTGGCTAAGTCGCGACAACGTGAGAGGTGCGTCTGATACCGGTACTGGTACCGTATGGTATACCCAGGTACCAGGTACCGGAGGCCTATGAGTACGCTGTACATCCATACCGGTAACTTCGGCACGCACCGGTACGTATAATAAGGGCTATGTATGTTCATGTAATTCGTATATTACGTAACCAACTCAGACAGAGATATTCCTGGCGGAGACTCCCATCTCGTCCACCTCATCTTCAGGGCACATCTCTGGTGCAGGGTATTCCGCTTCGGCTCTCTGTAACATCCCTTTGACCAACTCTTCTCCTTCTTGCATCCACATGTTCCTGTTATTGGTTGCATAGTTCAAGTTTTCATCCGACGTGGGTCCAAAGACGCCGCAGTCGCGAAGCTGCAATGATGGTTTGAATGGTAGGAGGAAGGGATGTCAGTATTTCAGTTGAAAAAGGGAGTCAGATGCACCGTCAATCTGCAACCTACCTTTCTTGAGAGAGGGATGATGTAGAAGTCAAAGAAGCCAATTTCGCCCTTGAACCAACCATCGGCTGGATTCTTCGATGCACGTCCTTCGCGCCATGCCTTGTAAGTCTCTTTGAAGAGAGCTTCATTCCATTTCCTGCAGTCACAAAACAACTCGGTGAGACAACCAAGACTAGCGAACAACAACACGACGAACAAGACAAAGATTCGAAGCCTGGCTCACCTGTAGATATGCCAGTGTTGAGACATATGCGCAACATCCGCTGCCTGAATAAGATGCTCGATCTGCAAGTTGAAACACAAGAAACACGGAAGTGAGCGAAGCAGGCAATAAAACGAAGGGGTTCAGTTCTGGAAACAAACCACGACTTACCACTATCGTCGCCTTTCTGTTGATTTGGATGTTCCTGATGTCATGTGGGGCTTGCCCGCTCTCAAGGTCTGAATTTGACCAGCTTTCGGTTGAATACGTACTAGTACGAACGCTCGTGTCGTCGTTGGCAAAGGCTCTCTCCCAGCGTGCATTGCGGAGTTCTTTGAGCTGCTGATCCCCAAGATCTGTTGCCATGACGCTATTCACCACGAGCTGCCTGAACCGACGGCGCGATTGCTGGGTTGGGCAAATTGTCGACAACAACGCAGCAAAACGATCCTCCAGTAGCAAACCATAGGAAACGTCCAGGCTTTTTTGCTCAGCTACGCTCCTATTCTTGTACCGTTCAGCAACTTGCCGGTCCTCTTCAATTAGCTGTGAGTTTGGTACTCCAGGGTGATCTATAAAAGCAAGCAAGCAAGCGGAGGTAAGGGGTCACGAGGTATTCAAGTAATCAACCCTCACGATCGTTGACAGTGAACTCACCAACATCGTGGATAAGCGCACTGAAAACGCATGCAAATTGTGTTAGCGGATCCGAGGTTATCCCTGTTGGGTTTTTGGACGGAAGAAATCTCGTTTGTGTTAGCAAGAGTGTGCACGGCCCGTCCTCCACATTCATTCCGCATTACTCACCGTAAGTGTGGGAATGAATTGCCGCTTGGACTGAGGATCGATTGCGATCTTCTCCCTTTTCAAGGGCCATTCCATTGGCTGCAATGATCCTGTTCATGTACTTTGTCACAGCCATCACAACGTATGAGGCATGAGCAAAGTTCTGATGGCGCAAGAGAAGAGGTGAGAAAGCCGTTCAATGATGCACAACATTGTCGGGATCTAGAGTGGCCAGCTTACATGGAAGGGATTGTCATTGTAGAGACTCGCTACCAAAGAGATGTAATCCCGTAGTTGTTGAACCACCAAATCGGGTACCTCAACTTTGTCGATGTCTAGCTGTCGTTTGGCAGCTCGTTTGTCGAACTGCGGAAGTTCAATGATTTCCTTAACCTCCTCCAAAGGCATTTCAGCTGCGATCGATCCATGCCTCGACATTTCCAGCTGAGTTGGAGACTTGCTGGTCATGGATCCTAACTGGATGTTTCCTCCTTCTCTTCTTGCAATGATCTGCTTCAGCAAACCCTTAAAAATCTCCAAATTGAATTCAACCCAACGCTCTTCACTGTCCAAGGTGGCGAACTCGTCATTGCCCCCTTCTTCACTCCCAACAACAGATCCATGGCAGGAGTGCCTGTCCTGAAGGTCGTATTCGTGGCGAAAGCCTTTCACCAACCAGTATGTCTTCATTTCTCCCTTTTCAAGAGTATGAACTCGCTCTTCTCGTTCCATGACCCATGACCTTTTGTTCGCCTTGACGAGCAGCTCTGCAGCACCTTGTGACAAATGAATTCGATTGTTCATGCCGTGCTTTTGGATGAGGGAGACAGTGCTTCGTGTATCTCCAAAGAGCTGGAACCTTGCACCACGGCCTGCAAGATGGGAGGAGGAAGTGCCTAATGAGTAGGGTTACAACGGAAGCATTGTTGGAGCATTCCTCCCACGACTAACCTTTCAAGAAACCTCCTGTTACCGGACCAGTTGCAATTCCAATCTGGAGAGTCAAGTCACTAGTGTCAGGTCCAAATTGTACCTCCATGGTCTTGACTAGCTTGGGCATCTTTCTCATACAGTCAATGCAGAACGAAGCCATGATTAGGCAGTGATCTGATTGAGATGTAGGGATTCCGGTTGCTGCCACGTAGCACTCCCCCTTCGTTACAGAGGCGGGATGGAGCTGTCAGAACAACTTTCACTTGATCTAAAACACAACACAAGTACACCAAGCTTGAGCTTACCACTGTCTCAACTTTGTAGACACCTTTCTTTGCTGCAATGTTGTCAAAATGTTCATAAAGCTGCTCCAAAAACTTGAACACCTGGACAGGTTCACTAAATGGCCAGAGAAAAGACAGTGTATTAGATGCACGTCGGGCAGCGCTAAGACCAAGGAACGCATGGAGCACGACTCACCGGACAGATGACCAAGCAGTGAAGCCCTGAACCTCGATCAAGGCAATGGTAGTGTTAACAAAGACATCTGGCAAAGGCTCATCTTCCTCCAGTTCCTCTCCACTGTCCAGGAACTTAGGCAGAACATAGATCGCCAATGAGGCAATGGTATCAGCACTCAAGAATATACTTGAATATCCCATCAGGTCAGAATCTGACTCTGACGGATGCAAGATCAGGAAGAAGATTGTTTGCAGCAGTAGAAAGAAGAAATTGGCACAAAGTGTCGCTGACATGGCTCTTGTATCATTCATGTCTTCCTTCACACGAGAGGCAAGCACAGCGGTCATGCACGAAGGCACCAAGATCAGAGCTCGCCAGGCAAAAACCATGTACATCCAGTGTTCCTGCTCAGACCCACAGTAATCATAGGCTCGAATGATGGTTTCACCTTCGGCTGTAGTGTCCCCAGACATTTCATATTCGTATGTCTTCTCAGGAGTGTCCACAAGTGTCCAAACAAGCACAAATGCAGCCACAAGAAAAGCCACAGCAGCCACCTTGATATAAAGGTACTTGAGATCAAGTTTCACCCGTTGCATCTGTTTGCCTGATGTTGCAAGGTCACTGATTGCTGATATCCTCACATAGAATGGCACCAGTTGCAGGACATAGCCCAAGTTTGTTGCCCAAGGAATGACAACACAGGTCCAGTTGACAACTGGGGCTGCCATCAAGATAGCGCCTGTGGCAACAAGGAACATTCCAACCAGCAATAGATTCAAGAATTCCTTCTGTACATAGTAGATAACCTTTGTTTTGCGTTTGATGAATGCAACCACAAGTGAAACCAGGACCAGCAAAGCCACTACGATGGCAATTCCCAAGGCAGCATGAACCAGCCCCACAGTTTTGGACTCTGAGGATTCCAAGATGGTACGGGGATGTGAATCAGGAACGAATGTCTCGAACAGGTCAAAATGGTCAATGACCCACTGGCATGTTGCCTCTCGCAAGTCGTATCCTGTGGGGCCACGCTGCAACCACTGGTCAAAGATTTCCCCATAACCCAGCTCTGTAATCTGATAGAGGCTAACTGCATCATAAGCTGGGCTCTTGAACTCATTTGAGATCCCATCCCCAATGGTGATCTCACGGAAGCCATTACTGAGCAGCTTCTTGAGGGGTTGTGGATAGGTGTCACATGCCCCCTCTGGGGCACCAAAGAGTTCAAAGAAAGTTGCATTGACCTCGCATGCATCGCTGGTGTCAATGCGTGAGTCAAGGCATTCTTGGGTGGGAGGCGGAAACATCACCCTTGTCATCTCTGCATCGGATCCCAAAAACTCTTCGTATGGTGGATCAGTCGTGTAGACAAGGATCATGACAGCACTCTTCGTAGCATTTGCAGCACGATAGATCTGGAACTGTTCCTTGTAAGAGTACCCTCCATTGGCTTGAGGCCCCCTCATCTCAAGCGCAATGTCGTTGTGATAGAGCTGCTGTTTGGCATAAGATGCCCAGCCACACTTGGCATTGATAAAGTCGCCAGTGCAAGTTGAATTATTGAGGTCACAGTCATGATTCTCTGTCTTGCGGAAGTGTCCATTGAAGAAGCCATCGACAAAGAAGGACATCTCTTCCTTCTCGTCCGATGGGGCTCGCTCTGCAATGGGATCTGGTCTGGTGCAGTTCGTGGGAGAAACTTCACTGCAGTATTCCCCCCAACGAGTTGGTGAGCGAAAGGTATCGGCAAGCTTTCGACGATTCTCCTGGCCTCCCAAACCGATATAGGTCATTAACGTTGGGTCGCGCTCAACAGCAAACTGAAACAAATCGGGTTCCAAGGACAGAAAGTTAGTTCGCTGCTCAAGAGCCACGAAGAGCCACAACATGGCGTCACAGGTCATACCTTTGGCACAAAGATGGCGAGCTCCGACAGCACGCCAAGATCCACAACAGACTCCAGCTCAGGCACTGCGGACTGATTCTTGGTTGATTTCCACCAAACCTCAGGGTGGAAGTGATAGCATGCTTCGTAATTCTCGGGTTCGATTGTTCCTTCCGTGCCCGTCACTGTGCGGCAATCTTTGACGCGAGTGGCCACTCCCAATTCTTTCCTGTATCGGTCAAACTTTGTCCTGAAGAAGTCAAACTTGGCCTCTTTCTGGTAGAGATTCACGTCAACATCAGGACCTCCGAACTCCACACTCACAGGAACATCCAACATCTCGGAGAGCAAGATCTGAAGCAGCCAGTTGTTCATGACCGACGATTCCCAGCTGCCACTGCCCATTCGAACTTCCATGTAGTCCATGGGCGAATGACGACAGTAGCCGAGTTCTTCAGCTTCGAGAGGATCCTGACTGGAGCAGATACGGGTCCGGTTCCAGCCGGGAAGCATGGTTTTCAAGCACCCGCCATTGTAGAAGGGATTAGTGCACATGCCTCCAACGCAACGTGAACCAACCTGAACAGCTGCCTCACACTCTTCGCTCACGGTGCAAGGGACGGAAGTGGCGGAAGCAGGAGTGCCACCCCATTGGCTTATCCAAAGTATCACGAGGAGGGACAAAGAGCGCAACATGGTTGAAGGAGCTGAAGGAAAGAGAAAGAAGAAGAAGATCAGAAAAAAGGAGGAATATCGATTTGAGAAATTGAAAAGTGAGAAGAAGGATGGGTTGAAAAAAGGGGAGTGCAAACCCCTCAGGCCAACGTACTACGATACTCCAGCTCCACACCATCTGCAAATAGGTAGCTAGCCATGTAATCTCACCAGTACTAACTATCTATCTGGAAGCTACTGTACCTGGGTAGTGGGTAGCACAGCTTGGGCTTTTGCCGAAAAGAAACTGAGAGGCTTTAGCTGAGGCTTTCTTCTTCTAAATTGTGACCGGGAAGCCGGGAAGCTCCGGGAGGATGGGAATGGGATGACATACGACACTGAAAACGATTTAAGAGGCTTCACCCTTCTCGGGTGGCATTCTCTTGCAACGAATGCGTTAGGGGGATTTATGCATATGCCAGAGTAGCCTTGTTCATGAGTTCATGGTTTAAGTTTTAAGTTTCGCAAACGGAAGTTCCGTTCTTGCAGGATACATCGATCGTACATCCTACGAGTACTACTCCCGAGTAACGTGCTATTTTAATTAATAGTAGCGCCGCTAGCTAGCTAGCTCGACACAGCTTATTAAGACACCATGAGCTGCTGAGCTGTTGGAGTTTTGAGAGCTGTTTTGAGTGAGCGGAGTCCTGATAGATCTTGATCGAAAAGGGGGATGAGCAAACTTGTCCATGGCTCTGTGTTGAATTTGTTAGAGCGTTTTTGTAAAAATTGTGGGCGCAAGCCAATATTTTACTTTGGCTGTTTTTCTCTATTGGATTTGATTTGATTGCATTGGATTAGATTGGATTGCATTGAATTACAATTTACTATATAAATAACAGTCTTAATTGGAATCCAATCCAATTCAATTCAATCCAATCCAATCCAATGCAATCCAATTAAATTTATCTTCCGGCAAAAATACGAATTTCGTCTTTTTAACTGATTTTGGCGAGTCACATCCATTACAATACAGGGCTATTGCAAGATTTGCCCATCCCCAAGCATACTCAACATACGGAACGAACAACCTGTTAACGCTGTAAAGGTACGGTACCATACACCTTACACCGGTACCATACACAGCGTACCGGTTCCTGCCGAAGCTATTGCCGATTGCCAATTCTGAGCTCCTGTCCCCTACCGGTACCGGTACTGTAGTATGCATTATGCATGTCTCCTTCTGCAGCCCCTTCTGTGCACTCATACTGTACACTGTACTATAATAGTACACCGTTCTTGCCTCAATCTAGATACGTAGTACTAGTTGCTTGAATTGATGCAGAGATAGTACATGTCATGTATTTAAGTATGCATGTATGTAGTATGTAGTACAAATCAGGCTTTTCTCGTCAAACCACAATGGAACATCCCATAGAGTCCAGTACAAAAGAAGAGGGAGCTTAATAAAATTGTGGTTCAGAAGTTCCATCAATGACTCAGGTCAGAAACAAATGACTTTACTTGTTGAAGCAACAATCCGAAATAGGAGGATCTGCACAAGGAAGGGAATCTTCGACAACGTACTCAGGCACCGGACGAGCGGACGAGCATCATCAATCACTGTTATCCACACCGCGATAACATTTTTTTTTGGATATGTACCAGTACTTGGTTTGGTGTATGTTGTCTTAATCACCGACAGGTCCCAAGGTTACTATATTTGTTTGTAGTTTGTAGCTCTTCTTTGGCTATAAAGGTTGTTTGACTCCTATCTAAGTGGCACCCCATGCATGATTGTTTCCTTCCTACTTTCCCAGCGACTCATAGATTACCAGAAGCCATGATCTCGAATCTTCACCGGGTATCGCTGCTCGAAGGAAACCTCAATGGCCAAGTTCCGCAAAGGATCGAAAACGACTAGATCGACACGGTTGTTGCTGGGGTGGTACAAAATCTTCTTTTCGACCGCTGCCGTGCCCATCCAACCAGTCATGAAAGCGACGATCGGTGCCACTTTTGGCCAAACCTCATCCGAGTCCTCGAGTTTAAACCATCCGTAGTAGCAATTCTTCTTGTGGCGTATGTTCTCGACACCTTCTTCGTTCACGTCGTCGTCGTCCTCCTCCACCGAAACCTCCTTGTGGAAGAAACCATCATTTGGTAAACGAATGGCAAACGTGCGGAAGGGCACATTTTCTTCGTAACGAACAAAGACCCGGTAATCCGAGAACCACTTGAAACCATCGTGATCATACAAGATCTGCCCACTTCAGTGTGTTCGCGATTATATTTATAAACGTATATTTATATTCTCCAGTATATTTATGGAATTTCGATGTTCCCCCCTGAGTCACGAGTGACCGTGACTGACTTCAGTGCATGTGTACGTACCCTTCGCAAATCTCGTAGCAGCAAAACAATGGCTCGCAATCCATTCCAAACACTCCAAATCGATCGACGTACGTGTAAATGCCAATGCATGTCGATAGAGGCACTCAACAAGCTCTCACTCAGTGCCTCCAGTTTGGGTGTGAACCCGGCTGCCACCGTTCATCTTGACAGGTTTGCAAGGGCATTGAATATGGCTAGGGGAGCAAAGGCTGCCAAACAAAAACGTGACGGCACTCTCCACGCGTACTTTACTAGTAAATAGAGCCTATATTTATATTCTCTAGTATATTTATAGGAATCCGTATTACCCCCATATAAATATAGTCAAGAACTGACTGTTTTAAGGGTGCTGCCATGGCCTTCAAAGTGCGTAAAATGAAGGGAAGGCAACTTAGGTTCACACATTGCCCTTCTTAAAAACTCTTAACGCTGTACCGGTACGTGGTGTGGCGAACCCCAATGTCTCCTCATGTGCACTCTTATGTGCACCGTTCTTGCCCCAAATAAGACGCTCGCATTGAATGTAGAGAGAGTAGTACTTTTCAGGCTTTTCTCTCAAACTACAATGGAACATCCCATTTGAGTCCAGGATGGTCATATCAAAAGGAATGGGAGCTTTTTAAAAATAAAAACACAATGGCTGTCTAGAAGTTCCATCAATGACTCAGGTCAGAAAATGGCTTGTTGAAGCACAATAGGAAATAGGAGAGGAAGGGAGGGGGAATGATGAATTGAATCGAATCTTCGAAGATCCACGAACCTGGAACTTCGATCATTGGAAGTCCTGGGTGGAGCGAGCTGTGCAGCGTGGGTTGGAGTTGGGGGTTGTGGTTTTGTGTGTGGGGAGCTTGTGGTACATATGTGTGGACCGGTACATGTGGATGCAAGAGCACGCCAAGTACTAAAAGCTAGCTAGCCACCAGTGGCATCCTTCGGAAATCGCACCATACCGTACCAAAGGATCATGCAGGTGTTGTACGTTCCGGTACCTATGTTGCTATGTTGTTGGCTGTGCCTCGTTTTGGAGGAAAAGTTGGCTGCAATAGCAAGGACGAAAAACCCGAAGTTGGGAAACAGATTGATGGTAGTGTTGGGTGTGGAACTGGTGTGGGGAGCTCGAGGTGTGTGTGCTCATTCGTTCGATTGAACTTTCGATCCGAATCGATTGAATCATTTGACTCGATTCGAATCATTCGATAATTCGATTCGAATCGTCTTTAAGGGTTAAGAATATTGGATCTTGTGGGTGTTCGCATTCTCGCTTCGTGGTTTCAATCCGTCAATGCTCCGTGCTCGCGTGCCACCAAGCTCCGAAGCATTGGCCATCCATCCACAACACAGCAACGCAGTTCTTGAGCACTCATCTTCAGCTGCTCTTCTCATATCTCCTTTGTATTGATCCTTCAACAACTGATTGCCTCTTGTATTGGAACAAAATTATATTTGTTTACTGTTGGACTGAGTTTTGATTTGATCTCATGTGGTTTTCCAAGAGCAATCTGCTATGCTCGCTTCTCTTGCTGGTAGTAGCCTCGGCTCGCATTCAAAATGATGACAATCCAACGGGACGTGATATCCACATAGTGAACCAATCGGATGTCAAGGTGGATATCTTTTGGGTCAATCCTCAGACCAAAGAACTCGTCAAGAGTATTGATACCGGAATTCTCAAGGGCACGGATTCCATCATTAACAGCTACATGGGTCACGAATTTGAAATCCAGGAACTCCCTCTGAAGACGACTGGCAAATGCCTTGGTGAGAATGAAGAATGTCGAAAGGCACATTTCGTGGTGACCAGCAATGAAGATCAACAATTCACCATTGAAAAGGATATCTCCGTAACATACGCGGATGCTCGCAGTCGAGCCATGGAAAAAGCCAAAAAGGTTTCCAAAGAATGCCGCATGCCAGAACCCACGGCATCGGGAGAACTGCCCGATCTGGAAGAATGGGCCGAATGTTTGCAAAAAGGAATCAATGCCACTTTGGATGTTTCCAGAGAAGAAATTGCATTCCAAGCTGGAGTCCGAAAGAATATGGGTCGAAAATTGGTGGACTATGCCTGTTCCGATGAAGAGTTTCCAACCACTTCGTCCACTTACAATCAAACTCTCAATCTGGGATTGGGATCAGCCCGAAATCCCAAAATGAAATTTCTATTCCAGTCCGAAACCAGCAAAGTGATCTTATTGGAGAATTTTGTTGCCCGATCGCAATGCCGATGGTTGAAAGAAAATGCTGCCAAAGGTGGTAAGAACCGACTGGACTGGACTGCGATTAATGATGTTGCCATTCGGGCTGTGGTGGAGCGTATCTACAAGGCATTGGATCAAGCATTGAATTATTACCAAGAACCCAGCCATCTGGATCAACAAAGGCAAAATTCGGCTAGGCTGCCACCGTTGTTTCTATTGCACACCTATGAAAAGGGTGGAGACACTAATCGGTTTGCGGCAGAAGAACATATCAGTCATCCTCTCATTGGTACCTTTATGCTGTTTTGTGATGCCCCAGAAAAGGGAGGTGCCATTCATTTCCCCAAGGCTGGCACTCATGTCAAGCCAGAAGCTGGAAGTGCACTGCTTGTGACCTACATGGAGCCTAGCACTGGAGAAACCTCCGATGATGTATTCACAGCAGAATATGTGGAGTGTCCTGTGGCGGAAGGAAAACAAACGACACTCAAGTATCACATTCCCGCTCCTCGCGAATAAGAAACACGACATCTTTTCGATATCTTTTTGCTCTGCAGTTGCCCGTTGACCGGGGAGGCAACAATGAATTGGTGGTCAGTAGAATTACAGGAACAATATAGATTGAATTTCATTCTTAGCCAATTCACCGCTCAAAAGATTGGCTTCATGTTACTAGACTAACTAACTGATTGGCGGATGGTACCTATTCTCTTTCGAGGAACTAGGTCTCATATCGGTGGAGGATGAATCGAATCGAACCCCCCGATGCATCGCTTTTCTAAACGCAAGCAACCATGGAAAACTGATGTCGAGACGCCGATTTTCCTCTTCGCGCTGGACACTCGCCGCTCCACCGCTCCATACGGTACACGTGTAGGCTTACAAGGAAAAGATTTTAGTATGGTGATCATTCTGGGATGGCTTTCGCCAGAAAGCCACAGAATGTCACTCTCTTTTCGGCTTCCAACGAGGAATGCATGGGGCACCGGTGTTGAAAAGGTGTGAACTTGAACGCACAATTTCTCTAATTTAATCAATATCCTTCCAGCTCTACTGTCTAGTAGACT